GCATCGGATTATAACTCGTACCGTCCCATCGCGATGCTGTCCTGTATACGGAAATTGTTGGAGAAAATGATTCATTTTCGTCTAGACAAATGGGTCGAGTCGAATGGTTTACTTTCAGATACGCAATTTGGATTTCGGAGAGGCAAAGGAACGAGCGACTGTCTTGCGTTGCTTTCAACTGAAATTCAACTGGCCTATGCGCAAAAACAGCAAATGGGTTCAGTTTTCTTGGATATTAAGGGGGCTTTTGATTCTGTCTGTATCGATGTCCTTTCGGATAAACTCCACGATAGTGGGCTTTCACCAATTATGAACAACTATTTGAGCAACTTGTTGTCTGAGAAATATATGAGCTTTTCTCATGGAAACTCGACAACTTCACGAATTAGTTACATGGGTCTCCCCCAGGGCTCATGTTTAAGCCCCCTTCTTTATAATTTTTACGTTAAAGACATTGATGGTTGTCTTGATGAAAATTGCTCGCTAAGGCAGCTTGCAGATGACGGCGTTGTGTCCGTTATAGGACCAAGTGCACCGGACCTGCAAGGACCATTGCAAGATACCTTAGACAATTAGTCTACTTGGGCTATGAAGCTGGGTATCGAATTCTCTCCGGAGAAAACTGAGTTGGTTGTTTTTTCTAGGAAGCATCATCCTGCACAGTTACAGCTTCAACTAAAGGGTAGAACAATAACTCAAAGTAGGGGAAATGACGGCTTCGGCATGCCAGACTATTTTCGGCAACGCAAATTGAAACACTATTTTCACTGGATTTTCTTACGAAAACACTTCGCTGAATGCATGCAAACGATTATTTATGCTTTCAGCTTCAATTTGACTATATTTTTACCACTGACCAAAAGCAATCTAGCAAGGTTTTCTTGAAATGAAACACACGCACTACAAATTGTAGCTGATTTCGAGTTGCCGATAATAGAACATCAGATTTACATGCAGTTCAAATGGAACGGTTGCCGAAGAAAAACTGGTTGCCGACAATACTCGCTCTCACTAGAGAAGATTGGAGCTTTGTAAAAGCATTTCAAAACAGTTGTTGACAATTCTTTCGACTGAAATTGTTAGAGCAGCTGGCAGCAAAAGATTGTAAACAAACCAATACTGCATATGTGTGCGTTTGTTAGAGAAAAAGGCTATAGAAAGAAGGTCGCTGCTTAGGTTGCCGAGAATACGTAAATTCCCCTATATCTTTCAAGTATTTAGGTGTCTGGTTCGATTCCAAAAGCACGTGGGGAAAACATATTGCGTATGTGAAACAAAAATGCCAACAAAGAATCAATTTTCTTCGTACAATTACTGGAAATTGGTGGGGAGCACACCCGGAAGATCTGATCAAGTTGTATCGAACAACCATCTTGTCGGTCCTAGAGTACGGTAGCTTCTGTTTTCAATCCGCGGCGAAAACACATATCCTGAAGCTGCAACGGGTTCAATACCGTTGCCTCCGAATCGCGCTTGGCTGTATGCACTCGACGCATACGATGAGCCTCGAAGTACTCGCGGGTGTTCTCCCACTGACAGATCGTTTCGCGGAACTGTCCTTCCGGTTTCTTATCCGTTGTGAAGTAATGAACCCATTGATAATAGAAAACTTTGAGAAGCTGCTCGACCGAAATCCTCAAACAAGATTCATGAGTTTGTACTATGAGTACATGACGCTGGAGGTTGGCCCTTCTTCATTAATCTCCAATCGTGATTGCTTCCAAGCCTTCTATAGTTCCTCTGTAAATTTTGATCTGTCCATGATGCAAGAAATCCATGGAATACCAGATCACCATCGGTCGATGGTTGTTCCCTCAATTTTTGCAATTAAGTACCACCATGTAAGTAACGATAAAAGATTTTTCACAGATGGGTCAACCATAAATGCTTCCACTGGATTTGGTGTATTTAATCAATTTCATAGCGCCTCTTTTAAACTGCAGAAACCATGCTCAGTATACGTTGCGGAACTCGCAGCTATATTTTACGCAGTAGAGCGAATTGCCTCACTACCTTCTGACCAATATTTCATTTTTACGGATAGTCTTAACTCATTGGAGGCTATTCGTTCAATGAGGCCGATGAAGCACTCCTCGTATTTCCTGCCTGAAATACGACATACACTGAGTGCTTTATCTAACTGCTCCTATACTATCACCTTAGCTTGGGTCCCATCTCATTGCTCAATTCCGGGTAATGAGAAAGCGGACTCGTTGGCTAAGGTGGGCGCTATGGAAGGCGATAGTTTTGAGCGACAAATCGCCTTCAACGAATTTTTCTCCATTGCTCGTCAGCAAGTCCTGATCAGTTGGCAACACAAATGGAATGATGGTGAATTGGGAAGATGGTTACATTCTATTCTCCCACAGGTGTCGAACAAACCATGGTTCAAAGGGTTGGACATGAGCCGCGACTTTATACGCGTTATATCAAGGCTTATGTCCAATCACTGCTCGTTAGACTCGCATTTCTATCGAATTGGGCTCTCAGGCAGCAATTTATGTGCGTGTGGCAGTGGTTATCACGATATCGAGCATGTTGTTTGGTCGTGTATCCTACACCGTGTTGCCAGATCTGATTTATCCACATCCCTCAGGGCCCGAGGAAAACAACCCGCGATACCCGTTAGAGATGTCTTGACGAGCCGAGATCTCGACTATTTGAATTTAATTTATGTGTTTTTAAAACGGATAGATCTGAGGATTTAGTAGTTAGTGTCATCTTGTGTTCTCTCAAGTTGTTAGCTGCCCATCGGTGTACCCCCATGTTTGTCTTTTTCATCAGAGTGTCGCTTAGTTCGAGATCAAGAGCACATTGCTCTCCAAACCTTGTGTTCACAATCCCTACCCTGCCATCCATTTGTTACAATTTGTCACCCCTAACCTCGAGATAGCCGCGAGTAATCGGCCCCCGCTTTACTAACGTTAGTTTTAAGTAATCAATGAATATTGGCTCCGCAAAGCTATAGCAAATGAGCCTGGAAAAATAAATGCATTATAAAAAAAAAGAAAGAAAGCTGATAATATATTCCTATTAAAATACCATAAACGAACGATAACCAAAATAATAGAACTATTCCACAACTGGTTTGGATGATACCCAAACACGTCGTTAAGCAAAATAACCATAACAAGTTTATTAGGGATATCTTATGTGTTCCAACATCTTCCGGCCAGCTGCACTTCCTCTGCCAATCTTTCGGGTGAGATCATTCCTCGTCCGACCATTCCTCGTTCTAAAAACATAATAGGGGTATTCACTATGCGCATTGTAAACATATACACTATCGTAAAAATACTAGGGTCAATTGGAGTGTAATGGAAGTTTACACATTTACGAAGGTGTATACGTTTACGATGCGCTTTGTGAATACCCCTAATGTAAATAAATGGTGTATCATGACAAAAATAAAACACCATACTTATCAGAAAATTCAACAAAACCAATGGTATTTGTGAATGCAGCAACAACTCGTTAGCAATGCACCGTTTGGACGCCATGTTAGGTTTTTTTGTGCCATCACCACTCAGAAATTTTCACGCTATAAATTCATGTAGAATCTAAGTGAAATTATCTTACATGAAATTCATTTGTAACTTACATATATATATTTATCTAAGTTTCAAAGCGTATTACATTGCTTTTAATACGATTTGTAATAAATTGTATTAACGTCATTTACTTTACAGACAATTTTTAATATCTGAAGGTTACGTGTTTTTTTCCAGTGAAATTTATGTGTCAAACTATTTGAGTGGAGGAATGGGTATACAAAAAACAGATACGTGCTACTATTTACCCTTACCGTTTCTACTGCTTATACTGTTGCTGCTCTGCCACAATAGATGCCGGTCGTACACACCGTCCGTGCGGTGGCTCACTGCTTTCTGGTGGTTATTGGTTCCAGTGGTACACACCGTCCGTGTGGTCACCTGAGGCACAAAAACTGCTTTCAGAAAGAAAAAAACTTTTCGGTGAAAAACACTTTTAAAGCTATGTCATGTGACGAGACAATAGGCCCTGATGTTGCTCATTCGCTAGCAATGTAGGCATAGGCTGCCAAAGCATTTTGTGAAAACCGTTTTCAAATCCGAAATACACCCAAATGATATTGTTCCATTACTAAGTGGGCCATGCTTTCTTTAGTGGGTAATTTATGTAATACCCCGTTCACATTACAGCCTATATCACGTAGCATAAGCTGTCTTGCAATGAGCACTCATTCATAGGATTTCCAGTGAAAACTAGATGTATGAGTGCTCATTGCAAGACAGCCTTTATCACGTGTCGGCAAAACTAGCAAAACAATATAATATTTTGATTTAAAAAATAACGTCTAATGACCTTTTTTCTGGTTACCTATACAATATCATAATGTTACCTTTGCTCGATATTGTGTGGAGACTCAAATTTTTTATATCGGATGGGGTAAGATGAACAACGAAATTGATCAAGTTGGTCATGCTATAAACATAAAGAACAGTTAAAGCCTAATGTCATAAAACTTAAGATTGTGTGATTTTAATGAACCTTAAAAAATATAACTTTACCAAAGAGGAATTTTCAGTAGTAACCTATTTTTTGACAACATGCCTACGATTGTTTTTTTTTTGCCCCACAGGACTGAGCAGGGGCCATCTTACCCCATAGCTGGAAAATAGTCTAAAAATAAATAAATAACTTTTAGTATTTTATTCGAATTTAAACAAGTTTGTATGATTGTTCATCAAGCAGAGGAATAAACGTCAACCCTTGAAGAGTCTGTAGAATTATAAAGTGAATTATTTTCTGGTGAAAATTGTGGATTTTTTTTTATAGTTTGGTTAGGTTGGCCATCTTGCCCCTCTTCCTCCTATCTACATAGGTAATTGTATAATAATTGATTGACCGCCTTGATCGGTGAAGTCAGGTCTATGCTGCTCAATGAACAGGAATAGATGGGCAACAAATGGCTGGTGAATAATAATTGGCAAATCAACCTACGTATATTAAAAGCCGCACACTCACCAGCATTGTAGTATTGTATTTATTCAAGAAAGACAATTATCAACTTATTGAACAATAATGAACTTCGAATCGCTCTATTTGCTTGGTTCGGCATCAAACTTAGGTGGAGAAACCACCGTAGCCAAATTCGTCCTTGGCAGGATTCCCAAACGTGGACTCGGCAACATCTTGCCTTGCTTGACGGGATTCAGCGTTAGAATAGATCCAAAATACACATGTTGGATAACGGGAAACTTGGACATTACTTCTTTCTGGTACATCTTAATCAGCCCGGTGCTTATCTTTGCCCACGATGGCACGGCGCTAATACTCCACAGTTGATTAGAGTGTTCTGCAAAGTGACCAGTTTTCACCTGCCGAATGTAGTCGATGCATCCAACAAACAGGTACTCCTTCCTGTATACGTCGATAATATTGTCCTCCACAAATTGCGCTGGTTCAATGGGACTTCTGACGGCAAGCTGTGCACTGCCCCAGATAAATGGTACAAACTGAAAATCATCCAAGCTCCACACTCCATGACTGCCGGCCGGTTCCATCCTGTAGGTCACTTGCAGCTTCCGTACAAAATTTAAGTACTGATAGAAAAGCCTCAATCCGACAGCAACCTCATCTTTCCTCTCGATGGCCCCGATCTTAAACAGGCACATTAGGAACATGATGAACGAAAGTTCGTGGCCCGTCCCGTAATCGATTCTAGTTGCATTACCAAAAGACTCCACAAAGTAAACGTTCAACTCCGGTACCGCATCTTTTAGATTCTCGGGAATAGCGTTCGTTATCAATGTCGCACTTTCGTTCTGCATCTTTTGGAACCAGGCCTTGAATGCGACATTGCCGAAACGAGCCGGTTGGTCAACGGGTGGCGTTTCGATTGCCAGTTGTTCCAATCGCTTGATGGTGTCAATCAACTTATGAATTATCGGACTAAATTCGATGGGCTGGCTTTGTTTGGTTCCCTGAAGAGCAACGCACATACTACTGATGAAACCAAACACATCGTAATAAGCCTCGGACTTTTCCCAGATGGCCATATCCATTGCATTTTTGATTAGTTTTTCCGGTATCTTGTACTCGAACTTAGCCGGAGCTTCTGCTGAAGGAAATTGATAATTTATTTGCGGAATTTAAGGATAAAAATACTACACTGACCTGAATTAGCCATATCTGAACAATTATGCTTGTTTTTTTATAGCAGAATACGGCTAGTACTTTACCTATTAAAATAGTTTAATTGCTTTAGTCAACTTTTTATCAGAGAAAAAATTTGTTCGGCAACGACAACACAAAATGCACTCAAAACAACACCTCAAAAATAAACACTGCATGAGCGCGTTCACGGATACTGTACTAAAATACAGTATTGGGCTATCCTCCATGCCGACTTCTTTGACGTTTCCCATTTGACGTCATTGTGTCCAAGGAACTTACCCCATTGGCGTTTACAGCGTCACACTGCGTTACAAGTCACACCAAAACTGCTTGACAAAGTGGTCAACTGTTCTTCACGTTTTTCACTTGGCGCACCTTTTAGAACTAGTTTCCGGATATAATTCACTGATTAGTTTGCTGGTTTCTCAACAAAAAGTGGAGAAAGATTTTCACTTTAGCTTCTTCACGGGCTTACTGATGATTTTTTTTTTCACTTCAGTATTTTTTCGTTTTTTACATTGGCTTGGTTCAAAAGTCTTGGCTATTATTTTACTTTTTGCCACTGGTTTCTAGCACTTGTCAGAAATTAGCGTTCCTCGCTTTTATTTTGTTAAAAGCTTTTTCCGCTGTCACCACAATGAAAGGGAATGAAAATAACACACTCCTTTGCTTAAGTCTAGAACAGAACAGTTCCCAATTTTATTCGTCATTTTCTTTAAATAATACCCTACGACACTCATTCTCGCACTTGTCAATAATCCTCTCTCTCTCGTAATTCATTCGCTGCCGTCGCGGGGAACCGCGCGTTTAATTTTCGATCAGAACATTAACCTATGGGCTAATGTTCTGTTGCTGACGTTTGTTGTTTTCTTCTGTCTTTATTTTCGCGGTGGAGCGATTGGATTTACTTAGGGGCGCTTCATATATCTATCTCTATCATTATCTATCTCTATCTTTATCTTACGCACATGAAATCGGCCAATCAGGAGCTGGTTCACGTTTTACAGAAAAGTGGTTCATTTTCGCCCCCGTATTGTCACCTCTTCTCTTAGCCTATGGTAAAATCTAGAGTCGGTGTATAATGAGTCACGCCAAGAGAAAAACAGTTGAACGGTTTTTGAAAGATTCCCTTTCTTTTAACTTGGCAACAGAGGACTTCTGCATCAACTTCAAATGGCTTCTAGCGAGGAAAAAAAATTAACGGCTGTAGTAAATCATTATATCAGTAATTTTGTCAAATTATCTTAAATAAAAATAGTAGAAATTGTCATTACTGATCATTTCAAAACGTATCGCATGACAAATGTAATGCTCACTGCGTGTATATGATCATTTCTTTGATTATATTTTATATTTAATCGCAATACCTTTCGTGGAACTTTCATAGCATCGTAATGCTTATTTACTTTGCACGATAGGTAGCCGGTTTGACAGTTCAATAGGTAGACTTGGCTTCACTCTTGGCGTGACTCATTATACACCGACTCTAGTAAAATCCATAAGCAAACGTCAGACTGTGCGTGAAACACGGCGAACTTCGTACTATCCTTTCACTTCACCGAGAAATCCCATAAGAAACTGTCAATCTTTTCTAGAAGAGACGATTTTTCGACGGTGCCGTCAACGCCAATTATTGCAAAATAGGGGAAATTCAGGTAATGTCGACCTAAGTGTCCCTGATTTGGGCCCATACATAAATTCAGCAATCGACTAAATTTTTAATAGCAACCAAAAATATCCATTAGTAACGTCCCAATAGCACGTTCATCTAGATAAAATTGATAAATAGCAGGTTTTTAGCGATGGGCCCAATCATAGATCCATAGGCTAACATTAGAGACATGACATTCCCCCTACGTCATGCACGCTATTTCAAAATTACCAAAATTTGGGTAGAATCCACCCAGATCGGTCAAAACTGAACTTACCCAAAACTGGGTAAACTGTGTTCGGAGTGACAAGTTAACAAATGAACAGAGTCGATTGGATTCATGTTGATGATGTCCATTTGTAAAGTTGTCACTTCCAACATAGTTTACCCATTTTTGGGTAAGTTCAGTTTTAACCGGTCTGTGTAGATTTTACCCAAATTTGGGTATTTTTAAATAGTGTGTGATGTCGCACATCGCAAACATCAGAGAAGTACACTCAAAAAATTTCACACGTTTGATCGAAGTGTTTAAACACTTGATTTTTTAAATACAGAATCACATTTACTTTAAGTGGATTTCACCTTGGTTCAATGTGTTATACACGTTAATTTATAGTGTTTCAAACTTTGAAATGTTGAAATTTTTTCACTATCTACTCAAGTGTATTGCACATTGAATATCGCTACTGTTCAAAACAGATGGATTTAAAGTGTTTTGCATTTCAATACGGTGTGAATTGCTTGCTCAGAAAGGTAAACATCGAAAACAAGAGTTGTGACTTTTTCCTATCAACCCGCCTCATATATGAGAACAACCGTGGCACAGTGAGATCGAACGAAGACTCTGGCAGCAGCACACCCCAACAGTTCATGATCGAATCCAAAATCAGACCCATTAAAAAGATATGTGAAAGCTCTGGCCTCTGGCAGTTTTGTTTTTATATTTGTCGATTCATTTTTAGAGTCGGTAAAGTAGAAGTCGATAAAGTAGAATATTGTAGAATATTGAACTATGGTGTGCAAAGCTATTGATATCACCATATGAGGCACATATAATCCAAGTGTGTCACAATTTAAATCCATAGTGTTCAGGCATGGTTCATAGCATAAGATTCACACATGAAATGGATGTGTTTCACAATAAGCGCAAAATTAAGTGTGAGACACATGATGATGGCGTGTGGAATTTTTTGAGTGTATATACACGCTATTTCGAGGCTACATATTTTTGAGTTGAAAACCACTCAGTTCAGCCAAACGGGAAGTTACCCAAAAATGGGTAAACATGATTGTACTCTAATTTGAGTAAACGTGCCAATGGCAGAAATTGGGTAATGGTTACTCAGATGATGACATTTGTCAACTGAGTAAATCTTACCCATTTCTATAGAAACGAATAAATGCCCCATGAATGCTTTATATGTAAAATTTACTGATTTCGTCCAGAAAGAATATAAAAAAACATTATGAATATGATAATTCTGTATTTATTTATACCAACGAACTATTTGTTAGAGTTGTACGAGGTGTTGCATACCTCACCAACTAGCTACTGATAGCTTTCGACATCCAGGCTATTACGTAGCTGCTCTATTAGAACTTTTTCACTTCACTAATTTTAGACTCACTGCGCAAAAATCACCTTTTGACTACTTCAAACTGCGTCATTTTCCTAATAAAATTGTTTTGGTTAATTTTCTTAACGACGTGTTCGAGTGATCATCCAAACCATTTATGGAATAGTTCTATTAAATGGGTTATCGGTCGTTTATGGTAATTTTTATTATTTGAACTTAGGAAAAATTTAAATTAGAAACATTTACCCAAAATTAAGGGTAGCCCTCTCTAGATTCCACTCATCGGCGCAAAAAAAAATTTACATATTGAAAACTCTACACGGTAAGAAAAAAATACTCACAATTAAGTTCAAAAAAACTCACCGTATGCTTCTCATGTTTAAAATAAACATATATATTTTGAAATTATTTAAGTATTTGAGTGCAGGGTAAAGCAAAATAAAACGGTTTGCTAAGAAATAATAAAATAAGATCTTCGGGCAGGGCATCTAAATTCCTGCTCTTTTTTTGGGTGCGATTAAGGGTGACCTGTGGGAATTGCGTGTATAATTGAACTTTGCCACACCAATATGGCAATACAAAAATGGTACAGGCATCGAAAACTCTCAATTAACAACTGTAGAAGTGCATCTAAAACACTAAAACGCTGTCCAGACTGGAGAGCTATACCAACAATCAATACGAAACTAACGATTTTAAATTGGTCCACCACTTTAGTAGCCTATTGGTCCCAAGCAAACGATTAACGTACCCTATTCTAGCTGAAATTCTATTACTACACTATGTTTGTTTTGATTCGCTATGAAAGTTTGACAGATAACATCACGGGTGTGTGGATTCATGCAGAACATGCAGGGGTGAGTGAAATAGCTTGGGACTGCTTGGGACCGTTGTTCTGGTACTGAGTGAGCCAAAAATAATAATGATTTTCTTCGGGACCCAGTATCTTAGAGTTACCTCTATGGGTATACCATGTTATAACGGTTGTCAAATAATTGCAGCACAGAAACCACCATCAAGGTAGCGCTATAACATGTTGTAACCTGTCTGAACGTACTATAAGTTGAGAGCACGCAATAAGATATTATGCGATAAACCATAATCTTGAAATGCGAAGAGGAAGAATATGCATTTACCTCAATCCCTAATAAACGGGTACCATACACTAGCGATATCATAGTTGGAACGCCCATATCACATAAAGTTGGGATGATATCCCGAATTGGTGGTTAGGCGCTTCTTATGGTAATTGTTTATGCGCGGATACCGTGGGTTCTTTAAGGGTATTGAGGTAAATGCATATTCGTAATCTGCATTAAAAGTGGAACCTAAACCCAAAATTTCATCAATTTTGGTACACTGGAACTATTTTAAATAAGTACGATTACATTTGTAAAAATCACCTTATTAGTGCCCCTCGGTGTCACTTTATATGGGATCGAGCTGTCAGTTTGTTAGTTAAGTGTCAAACAGTGAAATTATTATTTTTTTTTCAATCTTTATTTAAAAATCAAGATGAAAGTGTGTGGGTTCGAAAAAAATATCGTTGTGCTCAGAAAACGAAGCTCTTTCAGATGATATATAAAAACCGATACATTTTTTCAAAATTAAAGAACCCAATTGCGTCAAAATAATCAAACGGCTTTATCCCACACTCAAAAAACTTCTCACGTCTGATCGATGTGTTTGAACACTTGATATTTCATATGCACAATCACATTTATTTTAAGTGTATTTCACCATGGTTCAATGTGTTCTACACGTTGATTTCTTGTGTTTCAAACTATGAAATGTTGATGATCTTTCTCTATCAATTCAAGTGTATTGCACATTGAATCGCACTACTGTTCAAAACAGATGGCAAAACAGTGTTTTGCATTTCAATGCGATGTGAAATGCTTGTTCTGCAAGGTAATCATTGAAAACATGAGTTGTGACTTCATACTTATCAACCAGCCTCATATATGAGAACAACCATGGGCCAGTGAGATCGAACGAAGGCAACTGCAGCAGCACCACCCCAACAGCCCAGGATCAATTCCCAAATCAGACCCATTAATTAAAAGGCATGTGTATGCTCTGCCCTCAGCTTTGTTTATATATTTGTCGATTTAATTTTTGAGTCAGTAAAGTAGAAGTCGATAAAGTAGAATATTGTAGAAAATTGAACTATGATGTGCAAAGCTATTGATATCAGCATGTGAGGCACATAGAATCCAAGTGCGTCACAATTCGAACCAATAGTTATGAGGCGTGGTTCAAAGCATAAGATTCACACATGAAATGGATGTGTTTCACAATAAGTGCAAAATTAAGTGTGAGGCACATGATGATGACTTGTGAAATTTTTTGAGTGCAGGCTTTATCACATTAAAATGAGTAAATTTTTTGAAACTATGGATCTATTGAGAACACGTTCACACTTTATATTTTATTTTCAATGAGTTTATAAATAAATAAGAGTGCACCGAGCATGTACTAAAATAATGACACAAAGTTTAACGTCAAATCAAAAGCTCGTGAAGTCGATAGATTCACAAGCAAAACAAATTTCACAACAGCAAGCAATAACTTCAAATTTGCGTCGACCCCACGATTTGCAACAACGCATCCTTGATAAAATAACATCCCACTCCAGCCATCATGTCTTCACAACAAACTGTTGTCCATTGGTTCCGCAAAGGTCTTCGAGTGCATGATAACCCCGCCCTGGTCACTGCCGTACGTCGCGTTCTAGATGCACCGAAGCAACACGTTTTGCGTCCCATCTTCATTCTCGATCCGGCCATCCTGAAGTGGCTCCGTGTTGGGCCCAACCGATGGCGCTTCCTTCAGCAAACACTCGTCGATTTGGATCAGAATCTCCGGAAGATCAATACCAGGTATATTGTTATTTTTTTTTATATTTGTAACGGTAAATGTAATTTGATGCTTTTTAGATTGTACGTTGTCAGAGGAAACCCATTGGAAGTGTTTCCGAAGCTGTTCCAGGAGTGGAATGTATCCTTATTAACCTTTGAGCATGACATTGAACCTTATTCATTGAAGCGTGATGTTACCGTTCAAGAAATAGCCAAGAAACACGGCGTTAAAGTACACATTGAGAAATCTCTTACCATTTATGATCCAGATGAAATCCTAAAGAAGAACGGGGGACGGCCTCCGTTGACCTATCAGAAGTATAGCTCTCTAGCCGCAACTTTAAAGATTCCGCAACCCGTAGATGTTCCGGAGAAAGTGTCTTCGGACAGTGTTCCAAAACCGGATGCAAATGAACGGAAGAAAGCCAACTGCTACGACCCCCCCACGCTTGAAGAACTCGAAGTCAAGCCGGATGATGTGGGTGATTGTAAATTTCCAGGTGGCGAAACGGAAGCGCTTCGACGCCTGCATGAGACGATGAAACGAAAGTCGTGGGTTTGTTCTTTTGAAAAGCCCAATACATCACCAAACTCGCTGGAACCGAGCACAACGGTGCTTAGTCCTTATGTAAAATTTGGTTGCCTCAGTTCGAGACTGTTTATGCGAGAAGTGCAGGCAGTGATAAAAGGCCAGAAGCATTCTCAGCCACCTGTATCCTTGATAGGACAACTGATGTGGCGAGAGTTTTATTATTGCGCTGCGACTGCAGAGCCGAATTTCGACAAGATGGTCGGTAATAGTGTGTGTCTGCAGGTTCCTTGGACTACCAACGAGGAGCACCTGGAAGCTTGGACCCATGGTCAAACGGGTTATCCATTCATCGATGCGATCATGCGTCAGCTACGGCAGGAAGGATGGATTCATCATCTCGCTCGGCATGCCGTCGCATGTTTCCTAACGCGTGGGGATCTTTGGATTTCCTGGGAAGAGGGTCAGCGAGTGTTCGAGGAACTCCTGCTGGATGCAGATTGGGCCTTAAATGCTGGAAACTGGCTTTGGCTATCGGCGTCCGCATTCTTCCATCAGTATTTTCGGGTTTATAGCCCGGTGGCATTTGGCAAGAAGACCGATCCAGAAGGAAAATATATCAAAAAGTATGTTCCCGAACTGGCAAAGTATCCTTCTGGAATCATCTACGAACCGTGGAAGGCCAGTTTGGACGTACAAAAGAAACTCGGTTGCATTATTGGGAAGGACTATCCGAAGCGGATCGTAATTCACGAAGAAGTGCACAAGCAAAACATCCAAAAGATGACGGAAGCCTACCGCAAGAACAAAGCCGTCAAGGAAGGGATAATGAAGGGAGATAAAGATCCTGAAGCACCCAGTGGCAAGCGCAAATCCAGCTCTTCTGCATCGTCGTCCAAATCGGCGGCGAAAAAACCGAAGCTCAGAGAAACTCTTACCAAGTATCTCAAAAAAAGATGAACATCTCAGTTTCTCTTGTGGCCTTATTAAGATCTGTTTTAATATTCCGAGATGTCAATAAATCTAAGTATTTCTACTTGCCTGAGAAGCAAGGACGATTTCGGCAAATAAGAAATAAAAGGCTTACTTACTTTTTTAAACATAAGTTCTCCTCTAAAGCAACGGATATTTAATGCTAAAAATCAACGCTTCACATCTATTCCAATTTGTCGGCTGGCTTCTTGGGATCCCATGCCTCAACCTTAGGGCGGGTAGTCGAGTAGGGCATGTAGGCTTCTAAAAAGATCAGTAAATTTGATTACTCGTTAAGCTTCCATCCAACACCATTTTATCGTACCCTTAGTTCCGGAATGGTTCTCACTATGATCAACCATCCACGCGTAATGGGGGCGCATTCCGTCACGATTTGGAGGCAGATCGGTCTGAAATATTAAACACTCCATTCAGTAAAAACAAAATATTCTAACAATCCCTCAATTTCACCTTGTAATGCATCCATCCGAACCATTCAGCCGGAATCTGAGAACCATCGTACTCCAGGTTGAAATGAGGCGCATACTCGACCCAGCGATTCCTACCGTAGAACTGCGAACGATCTTCAAAGTATTTGTTGCCGTATTTATCCTGCCCAACCAGGCGACCGGCTTTCATTTCATCCATCCTGGAAAAAGCAAATTTCGCATCATTCTGTCCCGAAGGCACCCCAGCCAAGTTACATAAGCCAACAAAACTCGCTCTCACCAGCAACTCACCTGTACATCTTGTACAAACTGGCACGGATACCGCCGTTGTCGCGGATATAGCCCATTAGCTTGACCAGTTTATCCAATCCTACGAAGCGAGCCATTTTGCTGGAATCAATCGAATATCAGAAGGGAATCCTGACCAAGATTGTGATTCTCAAACCTGCGAAGCTGCTGTTTTCAGACACTTCGGCGAGAGCAGATTGACAGAACTCACACAGAAATCAGCTGGCACGCAAGTGACAGTTTAATGTCGGCAAAGAAGACTTTCTGACGTCTGAGTGGAGTACTAAACGTCGTGAGCGTACTCCAATGCTGCACGGTGGACTGAGTTGCGAGAATTATTTTTCGAATATCGATAACATCACGCACGCTTATTCTGGTTAACTCAAAATTGAGTCGAATGTACTCATCTCAGCGGCAAGTAGGGCTACTCAAAATTGAGTAGCCTTATGTTGACTCACTTTTGAGTAAACGACGTTCTCGCGTAGACTGATTCAAATCCACTCAGCGATATTTTCAGTTGCGGGGGGCTTTTGTTTTGATTTTATTTAAGGAAATGAAAATTGTCTACTCCGGATTCATTCTACCGGAGCAGAAAATGGTTCAACACCATTGGCAAATCAAAAATGGCACTCGTGGAGAATAGAAGAACTATGAGAGTGATGATGGTTTCAAAATTTTACACGGGGAGGTATCCTTTTGGTTTGTTTTTGACGTAGGACTACGTCTTTGATTTCTATATGGGGGTACACTTTGTGAAAACCGAAAATGGAACATGTAACAAATTAAGAAAGATTTTGAACGTTAATAACTCAGCTACCCCTGGTCCAATTTCAATAATGTTACCACCAATCGATCAGAAATATGGCAACGCATTGATAACAATGCTTCCAAATGTTGATTTTCAACAAGAAACTATTGAAAAACTGGTAAATGTTCAGCATTGTCCAAAAGCGTCCAATTAACTAACAAATCCACCAATTACCTACATGCATATGCTGCTTCCCCAGCACAGTCGTCAGAGAGTAGTAAGTAGACGAAACAAGTCAAAGTGGCATTCGCCTCCTATCCTCGGGCGCGTGTGAATAGGGAGGATGGAATTGCGTAATATTTTACACACTCATCGCCATGTTCAGAACCAAACGCAAATTCTTCGAGATAACCACCATCCGTCGTCTGGCTCGCCGTGGCGGTGTCTGACGTATCTCCGGTTTGATTTACGAGGTGTGCTGAAGGTGTTCCTGAAAAATGAGATCTGTGATGCTGTCACCTACACTAAACACGCCAAGCGTAAGCGGCCATGGATGTCATCTACGTTTTCGAAGTGACAGAGACGCACTCTGTTTGGTTTCAGAGGTTAAATCATCACCAACATTGGAAACAAAACGGCTCTTTTCAGGGCCACCAAGCTTATTACAGTAAAGAGTAGGAATAGAATTCATCTGCCTGTTTGTCCATATTCAGAACCACCGACCACACAAAATGCTCATGTGATCAAACTGGAAGCAGGGATACAAATTGTTTTGATCAACCTTGATCAACTTTGAATCGCCACGGCCGGATATTTTCGATGGAAGAAGCAACAATCTAGCATCTAATTCGACGAAGACGGCAGGAAACATTTCTGGATCAACAATAGAATAGGGCCCATCAGCATTTGTAAACAAACCGTTCCAAAGCCTCACAAATCGAAGGCCGCTCACACAAACCAACACCAACATCTTGTAGGTAGAAGTTTCCCCTATCCGATGATGGTGTTGGTTTGTGTGGGTGGTCTTCGCTTTGTGAGTAAAGGGCTTTGGAACGGTTTGTTTACAAATGCTGATGGGCTCTTTTCTATTGTTGATCCAGATTTGTGAAGCCGAGTTATTTACGAAAGAGAGTGTCTATGAAGAGAATCGATCAATGTAGATAGGACCTATTGAAAAGTGACGCGAGATTTGTTTTCCGTACTGAGGTAAAATGCTACCGACGCCAGGGAGGCAGCTCCCAGAGATGTTATGCCTTAGAACATGCCGATGGCGCCGACTGAGATTGGACCCAGGCCTGCTGGGGTGAGAGGTAATTACGCTAACTACCGGCGCCGATATCTATCACGGCGAATGAGAACGACCCAAATTTGAGTTTAGTTATCTCAGAAATAAATGCAGGAACTCAGCGATGAGTAAATATTCCTCATGTTTTCCCAGGTTTTTCCATGATTTTCCAGGGAAAAATTCCCGAATTTGAGAAAAGTAAAGATTGGATTCACTCAGTCTATTGGTACTACTCCGAGACTGAATAAAATTTTCGTCAATTTCCTCATTTCTGGCAGATTTTTTAGGTTTTCCACAGGAAATCATGAGACAAATTTACTCATCGCTGAGTTCCTACACTTTTGGCGATTATGAGTGAACTAAACTCAAATTTGGAGCGTTCTCATTCGCCGTGTACGCAAAAAGAAAATAGCCAGTGTCGCTACTTGATAGCAAACTACTCATAATGGGAGGAGTCTTTGTAGCTTTTATACCACTTGGTTGCACATCATTCTGCTTTAACCTAAAAATATATAAAGCAGCGCTGCTGTCTAGTATCAGCTCATTTTCGCTTCGGACGGCGTGGCGAGCAAAAGTTGCAGTAAGTCGTGGCAAAGGAGGTGCCAATCGTCATAGCAAATTTTTCGAGATAACCACCATCCGTCGTCTGGCTCACCGTCGCAGTGTCTAACGTATCTCCGGTCTGATCTACGAGGTGTACTGAAGGTGTTCGTGGAAAATGAGGTCCGTGATGCTGTCACCTACACCAAACACGCCAAGCGTAAGTGGCCATGGATGTCCTCTTCAATAAAACGGCCCTTTTCAGGGCCATAAAGCTTACATCAGTAAAGAGTTGGAATAGAATTTATCTATGCTTGTTTATCCATATTCAGAACCACAAGCCCCCAACGACCACACAAACTTGGAAGCAGGGGTGCAAGTGATTTTGATTGATTCAGGGTGGCCAGCATACCGGGAAATATCCGGGAATTTGGAAAGTAACCGGGAAAAACCCGTGAATTCTGCAAGAGAACCGGGAAAATAAATTAACCATATCATAGGAACAAATTGTTACATCAGAATTTCAGAATAAACCATTAAAACAGTGATCCTTTAGCAAATGAATGTCTTGCTCTATTTGTTGCATAATTTTCTTCAGTATATACCGTCTTATTGTTTTTAGAATTTAATCACTCAGCAATATTGCAAATTGATTTTTGTCGTTTCAATTTCAGATGTTAAGTGCATGGTCCTCTAAAGAAAATATTGAAGATGCTGGAGTTTGGAAACAAATATTTGTAAAAACCGAAACTGAATTATTCTTTTCCGGGGTTTTAATTTTTCGTTGTTCAAAATTCTCATGATGAATTCCAGAATTAACTTGGAATTCTGCTCTGAATTATCTTGAAATTGTTCTGAAATAAACCAGAAAACACTCCGCGTAATAATTACCGTTGAATTATTTTAGGAATTTTCTTCCAACCCCTTCTAAGAATTTATTGGAATCCTTCATATAATTCCCGTTCCCGCCTATCCGGAGACTTTAATTCCTTAAAAAATCTTTCGAAAATTGATTTATAAACCCCTTGGAGTATTTTAAACAATTTCTTTCTAATTATCAGCAAATTTTTTGGAATCAATTTTGTTTGGGTTATGTGATGAATCATTCGCACTAGGGTTGAAATTATTGCCAGAACATTTTAAGAACTCTGTTTCTTGTTGAATTCCGATCATAATTCTCTTGGAATTCTTCTTAAAATTCATCTGTCATGTTCCTCACGATGCCCATACAAATCTCATCAGAACCACGTAGGAATTTTCTGCAATGTTTTATTTTTATTTTCACAATTCTTTTTTAAATCTACTAAAATAACCTAACAGTTTAATTTAGAACTTGCATTCTTCTCCAAAGAAATCCTTCCAAATTCATCTAACAATTTCTATGGATTTCATGTAAGAATAATTCTGGAAATTTGCTCTTCTCCTTCGAAAACTGTGTGGGAATCCTTCTCAATATTTGTTTTTAATCAACACTTTGAATTCTTTTAAATTTTACTAAAAATTCCAGGGTTTGTCCGCCAGATTCTACAGATTGCTATGTAATTTGTTATTACTCTTAAAATGCTTCCAAGTCTCAGAGCGTGACAATTATGACTCCACGACTCATAATTATGAAGTTTTTTTTTTATAAATCTGTGATCTTGAAAAAAATTCAAAATTTCACATTTTAATTATTGTTTCTCCAAATCTTGCATAACGAAGCATGTTATTAATCACAAATTTTGAAGAAAAGTTCTGCAGAACTGCTGCAGAATCTTGGGAATCTTCTTAAATCACATTTTTTTTATCCTATCAGTAAATTTTGTTTTTTTTTTTGTTGCATATTAACAACCGGGAATTTTTAAGATTTGAACCGGGAAAACCGGAAAAAACCGGGATTTTCAAAATGATTCTCGTAATCAACTTTCTTTTTGAAAAAGATTACTACAAATTTGGATCGCCTACAATTCAAAACCGGAAAGAGTTGAGATAATAGATATTTCAGGCATAACATTTGATAACGGCACAAAAGCATTTGTAAACAAACCTTCTTAGGCCCTTTACACGCGAACCAAAGTACGCCCACGCAAACCAACAACATCATCGCATAGGGGCAACTATCACCTTTCTGTAAGTGGTATTGGTTTGTGTGGGCGTACTTTAGTTCGCGTGTAAAGGGCCTTAGAATGTTTGTTTACAAATGCTTTTGTGCCGTTATCAAATGTTATGCCTGATTTGATCAATTAAAAGAACTTAATGCTCTTCACATTTATTCCGTCCACTAGCGGTCCTACGTCAAGCTTCCGTTTGTGCCCCTAGGCACAGACCCTTCTACTTTTTTCCGTCGATCTTGTTTTCCGTGCTGAGCACCAATGCTACCGACGTGCCAGGAAGGCAGCTCCCACACCTGGACCCTACCTATCGACCCATCAACTCATGAACCGGGGACCAACGGCTTTACTTCCCATCCGAAGGAAGGCGTGATCAGAGATGTTATGCCTCAGAACATCCCGGCGGCGCCGACTGGGATTGAACCCAGGCCTGCTGGGGTGAGAGGTAATCACGCTTACCACTACACCACCGGCACCGTTACACGGGGAGGTATACGAGTGTAATCTTAAAA